AGGATGTAGCTGTGCAGCTCCAATTGGAGGGGGGAGGCCTCACTCCCATTGGTCAAAATACAATACCAGGAGCTTCTTTGTAACTTCAGAGAGGTAAATAAAGGCTATCAGGCATGGATTGCTACAATTTTTTTTGCCCAGCTGCCTCACCCAAACCCCACAAATTACCTATAGCTACAACCAAGTTGAAACCTCTCCAAAGTGAACCCCTTCACTGTGTGCTCTCTCCAATGACCCCCTCCTTATTTTATCTTTAACCCCACCTTTGCTATTGGCTACAACTCTTCAGCATAATTACGTTTTAAGTCTTTTCTGTCTTAAACTGTCCTTTGACTTGAAAACCTCTTTCTAGCGCTCTCTCTTCTTCTGTCCTAACTAAGCTTTTGAAAGAATCGTGTGCTAGGAACAGCATCAACACTCCGTGAATATTTGTAAGATTCAACAGACATCTCTTGTTTGTATGAAACACTCTTTTTTCCTCTCCAGTGCATTTTCAACATCTTATGTCATACCTACATGCGAGGCACACTATATTCACAACGATTATTCTAAAATACGCCTCTGAGCATGTCACTTCACGACTTATACAATCTTTTTTTTTTTGGCTCTTCAGGGCTTTCAAGACAAAGAGTAACATCTTCCAAGTCCTCTGTGTTCAGGTGCTCAGTCCCTCCCTTTATGAAAACGCTTCAGAGTCCCCTGACGGTGCTCACAGATCTCTGCTTTACTGAGTACTGTTTCCTCTCAGCTTTTCGTCACCTGTCCAGTTTCTTTAAAAATAAATTCAAGAGCACACTTACAAGTACACTTTCAGACGTTGCATACACATGCCCAGCAGAAGCCTTCAGTCTGTCTGCAGAATGCAGAAAGGGCCCCTTCTGCTTCCTGCTCATCTCACACTCACTTCCAGATCTTTTGAGTCCTCAGTTTCCCCCTCACTTCAGCTCCAGAAGCTCCTGGTATTCACCTAGGCCCCTAAGTTGACATAATTTTATTATTACATATTCCTTTGGTTTCAAATGAACACGACTATAAATAAATATATTTTCATAAATCATTGTCCATGTCCTTACTTGCTGTCTGTTCAAATCGTTAAAAAGTCATCAGAGGTATGAACCGTTTTAGCCCTTTTGAAACATATTGGCAGGTCGCCGTCCAGAAAGAACCTAGGCTTAGATGTCACCATTGCCTGGGATCAACATGCAGCTCTGCCACACAGGGCCACATTCAGACTTTTGTGGGCCCTAGAAGCTTTTACTTTTGTGGGCCTCTACCTCCATAAAGTAATATTAAAAATTATATTTATAAGTGCATTGATATAAAGATGAACATACGGATACTATACATTAAAACGTTTTCTTCAACCGAAACATTCCATTGCTTTTCTTCTGATTTTAAAAGAAATTAAAACCTTTTTTTAGGCGCCCCTGAAAGTATGGTAGCAATGATTTGAAATAACTTATGATGAACGTCAAAGAAGAAAGCGCCATAGCAACATTGCATTTGAACACCAAGAAGACAAAAGTCATGACTACAGAAGAAATACACAACTTTAACATCAACAATGAAGACGTCAAAATTGTTAAAGATTTTGTTTCACTTGGTTCAGTCATCAATTCGAATGAAGACGGCACCCAAGAAATCACGTGAAGGCTGAGACTCAGAAAGGCATCAATGGAAGAATCAGGAAAGATCATCAAGCGCAAATGTGTCATTAAAGACCAAGGCAAAGAGCATCTTCACCCTCATCTTCCCAATTGTTATTGTACAGATGTGAAAGTTGGACAGTGAAGAAGGCTGATAGGAAAAAAGTGATAATTCATTTGAACTGTGGTGTTGGAGGCAAACTCGAAGGATACCCTGGACCTCCAGAAAAAGGAACAAGTGGGTCCTAAAGAAAGTTAAGCCTGAAGCATCACTGAAGGCAAATATGACAAAACTGAAGCTGTCCTACTTTGGGCCCACCATGAGAAGGCAGGGTTCTTTGGAAAAGACAATAGTGCTGTGATAAAAAGAATGCAGCAGAAAAAGAGGAGGACCAAATAGGAGATGGCTTGACTCCATAAAAGAAGCCATAGACTGAGCCTCCAGGAGCTGAGCTGGCCTGTGAAGCCAGGACACTGTGAACATCACTCATTTACAGGGTCTGCAGGAGTCAGAGCCGACTTAATAGCACATAACACACACAAAAGTACGGTGAGCCTGAGGTACTGTGCCAACTGTGGCAATTGGATAAGTCAACCCTGTGGCCACCTATGAGCTGTGAGATTTGGCCAAGTTTCTTAATGTGACTGTGCCTCAACCAGAAAACTGGTATAAGGCTACCATATGATGTTTTAGTAAAAAGTAAATGAGTTACTACAAATAAAATACCTAGAATTACATGGCACATAGTCGATAAATTGCTATTGCTATATTGTTATCAAATTTGCATAATACTATGTGAAAGTATACAATTGTCCTTCACAATGCCAAATTTGTTGAATAAATTTAAAAAGTCTGGAGGCTTTGCTAGAAACAAATGATATTTATTCAAGGGTCTTGGAGTTTGCAGACTGGAAACACAGCTAGACAAAAACCCAGAAGTATTTCAAAGAAGAAAGAGAAGCTAAAAGTTCTTAGCCAAAAGTAAATTCTTGAGGATTATCAGTTCTGCTTTCTTAGCCCTGAAATTGGTCCAGGACAGTTATCGGTCAGATGACAGGCAGGATGACGGATGCCAGGTGGTCCCGAAGATGGGTACCAGGTATGGTCAGATCAGTGGTCTGGATAACAGATGTCATGTGGATGTATACATGAGTTCTTCAGATGGCCTGGACACATGAGTCCCTCGCAGGTAATTAGAGTGCTGCCTGGAGATCCAGATGTGTATTCAGATACTGATGCGGGACTGGAAAGCTCAAAGGAGTTTAAGTTTCCAGGCGAGTTAGAACAAGAATGGTCTCCTCAGGCCTCAACCTTCCTAATGGTAATAATTTCAGCAGCTTGGTTAAAGTACTCCATTGTATTAATATATATTCCCTATCTTCACTCTTTCCTCAAAGTCATTGAGTATATTTTCATATGGAAAATATAGAATCCTATCGTTGGCTCATTGTTCATTTTCTTACTGGGATATTCACAAAAAGGCAATTTATATATAATGTAGATAAAAGTATTGGTCTTTTTCATTCTTGTTTTCTCTTATTTTTTGCTTCACAAGTCCTCTCCTACCCTGAGATCATGTCATTTACCTGCCTTACTTTTTTCTACTTGTTGGATAATTTCACTTTTCCATTAAATAATTTAATCCTTTTGGGGCAGCCTCCATTTTGTCGGTCCCAATGTACGAATTCATTTTTTTCATTACTAACATTTAATAAAAGAATTGACAGTGGTGTTAGGATTGACATGGTATCACATAGAAGGGAGGGGAGTAGAATTTGAAATAGAATTTTCTATCCTATCTAAACATCTTGCAAATGTAAAGTTTTGAATCCTTTTGTTAATCTTTTTTTTTTTTTAATCCAATGCCTACATCAAAGTGACATTGAGGTGAACTGAATTTCCTTTCTAAATTTCAACAAAAAGCTTGTCATAACTGGGAATGAAAAATGAGTACTATATGTTAATATCTAAAGACAATGATATATTTTGTCCACTTGTATTGACATATTTTTGAAGTATCTTTTCATGTATGATAGCCTTTACAATTAAGTATTGAATCAATTGAACTTAGAACTCAAGCACTCAAAATTTATATCACTAAATATCATGCCAAGATTAAAGTAAGATGATCTCATAAAGAGCAAAATAATTTATATTATTAATAAACAAAATATCACTTTAGTTTAAAATATTTTATTATCTAAACTTTCCTTTTAATTTCTAATTTCTTGCTTATGGTTATGAGTCCAATAAAATAGTAAAATAACACATGTATGTAATTTGTAAATAAGTATGTATAAATTTCTTTTCTACGGACCAAAATATGGGATCAAAAAAAAAACTGGAAATTATTGGATTGGTGAATGGGATGGAAAGGGCTTTCAAGAGATAGTTAATCTGATACAGTAACATAGCATATTGGGAAGGAAAAAATAGAAGCAATATAAAAAATTTTAATACTGTAAAACAGAAAAAAATTGAATAATTTAGAGAATAATCATTCCACAACTTTCAAAACTCTCTTACAGCATTACTGTGTTCATTTCAGTTCAGCAGTTGTTGGGCACCTACTATGCTCTGGCAATGAAAAGATGAGTAAGACGTGGTCTTCTGTCCAGAGACACCATTGTCTAATGGGGAAAACAGAGTGTGACCATGTGAAGTAGTGGAATCATGTGACTAAACAGATAACTTCCATAAAGTATTGTAAGCAGTATACAAAGTGTTCTATGAATAAACAGAAGACCGTATCTAGTGATATCTGATGGAATAGGGCTAGGGTTAGGGAAGACTTCCTGATGGAGGTGTACCTGAACTAAGCTTTCTTGTGAACACAGAGAATGGTATGATTGATTCATAAAGAAGAGTTGGAATAAATTAGAAAATGTTCACTATGGTTGTTTTGTTTAATGAGGCAGAAAAATCTATAAGACAATTTGTAAAGATTCCTGTCTTGATAAAACACTTTAAAAGTTTTGATTGCCGACGGTGTAAACTCCAATGATCTGGAACGTTCCCTCAGACTACACTTGTGCCAAAACAAATCAATGATACACTTTCGCGTACGCTCCCTCATTCCGTCAACGGGTCTTGAACACCAACTCTATTTCAGGCACTGAGCTAGATGCCAGAAATATACAGTCAGATAAGACGCTGTTTGTGCCCTCAGGGGACTGAAAGTCCCATTGGAGACGCCCTGTGGTAAAGCAATATGTAGGAAAATTAGTGTGCAATCTGCTGAAATAAAGGTTAAAACAAGGTGCGTGTTGCATCTTGGTCAAAGAATGAGTAGTTTTCTTTGCCTGGAAGAGAGGAAAGGGGACCACATCAGAAAAGGATTTCTAGAAGAAGTGATGGTTAATCTAGGTCTGGAAGAGTGAATAAGACTGCCAAGAAGATGGTGGAAGGAAAGACATTGCAGGCAGAATGAGGAGCATATGCACATGCAAGGAAGCCTGCTGCCATTTTTCTAGACTCTTATAAACTCTTTGTTATTCACATTCTCGTTCATCATGACTTCACAAGTTCTTGCTTCACTAGACTTACGCTGTTAGATCAAGACTTACAAAATGTCTAGCTTTTGCATGTCTACAGCCTGATTAGCCTTTGGTTAGTGGACAAATTTAGAACTACGTTCTACACTCACAATGGTCAATTCAAGCATTGATACAAATTGGGGGCACCAGATTCTTCATGGCTGTTGGTCTGGAAAGTGTGACATCATTGGTGGTTGTGGGTTGTGACTGAACTTTGTAGCCTCACTTCACCTGGATGCTGATCGTTGCCTTCCTCACCTGTCTTCCATCTAAGGAAATACATGCCCCCCCCCCTCCATGACCACACTCATGGCTACTAGGTTTATAGATAGCATCTTGAGATTCTCAACTCCAGGGACTCGCCAACACTGACTGAAGAGATAACCCAGAGAAAGCAACCCAAGGTCCCATTGGGCTGATCAGATTCTCTTTCTGAGACTCTGAGGTTAGGATATTATGCTTTGAACCCTCAGGGGTAAAGGGTATTGAATGAGATAGCTAACCTCCAAGCCCGCTGGTCAGCAGAGAGGAACACTCCCCATCGGTACCCAAATGTCCGCTGTCTGAGAGGTATACCTGTGGGCACAGGTGGAGGAAACACCTGTGGAGTCACCCGCCCAAGACTTAATAGGCCAGGGGTCTGGTCTCTACCAAAGAGTTTGAGGTACCCTGAAATAGCTACATAGCTTCTCGCTCCAAAGTCACTTGCCTGTTGGAGCTGAGGACTTTCTTATAGGCCAGGTGAAAAGGGCATTTATTGGAAGGCTATGTGGGAATCTCACATAATCTCACTGCTGATCGTCCGTCCCACAGGCCTCAGAAATGCTGAAACCACCTTCAGACAACTACTTTTCCTTGTAGCTTTTCAAGCAGCTCCATCTCTCTTCTTTGCCCCTCTCTATCTGCACCTCCATTTTGTTCTTTATGCAGCCGGGCTTCTTTTACAGGGTTTTGTTTCTGTTCCTGAGTCACTTCAGCTGCACTGAGCCTCTGCCAGGCTCTGCAGCCACTCTGGTCCAGACCTGACCTGATAGGACAGCTCCAGTGACCACTGCTGCTCACCATGTTGAACTCTCCTGTCTTAGTTTGAATCCTTGTGCCCATAGGTATACCTCTCAGATGGCAGACATTTGCATCCCGAGGGAGAGAGTTCCTCTCTGCTGACCAGTAGGCCTGGAGTTTAGCTATCTCATTCAGTACCCTTTACCACCAAGGGTTCAAAGCAGAACATCTTGACCTCAATTGGCAAAATATTCGAGATAGTACAGATTTAAAAGGCATTGAGAGATCATTTGTAAGTATAGACAAGTTGGCAAAAGTCCTGGGGCTGGCAGGGAAAGGAAAGACCAGGTCCTGCCAGCACGTCATCACTGTGGGCATATCGGCAGCATGTCCCATCCCAGTGACAGGCAGATGGAGTTAGGCCCGCGATAGGACTGGGCAAGCTTGCCGTGTTGCAGAAAGCGAACACGATGGAACAGTAGAGACAGGAGGCAAGTGAGGCTCAAGGTTAAATGGAATCTGATAGCAACGTGTTAAGGCAATCAGGAAGATGACCAAGCAGGCCGCAGATCAGGACTTGCTTGCACAGAGCAGTTATTTTAGTAAAGGAGTGCCTGCTGAAATTGGTCCATAGCTTCAGAGAGTGACTGGACGCCAGTCCCGCTTCTGGATCATAAAGCGCCTCTCATAGCCCAGGCAGGTCTGGGACCAGCAGGGAGCCTTCAGGGCCACTGTCCAGGAGGGATGAAGGTGTCTTCTGGCTTTGCAGACAGATTTTGAATGATCCGTGATCCCCCATGGGGCCTCTGATAGGCCGGACCCCACGGGAGCCAGTCTGGCACGTTGGAGGGGATTTAATTCTGCTGAATGTCAAGGTCACACTCATCATATCACCTGAGTTTAGTTGCTTTGCGATACTTACACCATAGAAAAGTCTTCCTTACTTGCTTATTTACTTATCATCTGTCTCCCTAGTGAAATGTCAATTCTCCTAGAGCAGAGACTTTAATCTGATTCCCCCCATCGCTGTGTTTTAGCATCTTGAACAATGTTTGGTTCTTCGTATGTTCTCGGTAAATATTTGTTGAATGTATAGGCAAAGTCCATGAACTTGGGGACATGTCATGAGCCAAGGGCCTGGACAGCAAGCCCAAGTCCTGGAAGTCCTGACTGTCTTTGATTAAAATGTCTACATTTAAACATACCTGGAAACCTTCCCTGGGTGTCAAACTGCCACTGACCACGTTCTGACCACCCCATCACACCCACGTTCTGTCCTCAACTCCGATTTTGCAAATGCTCTAAGAAGATAAAATGTCTCCTCTTTTTCAGCCTGCTTCTGAGATGCCTGTCCAGTGTCTGCTCCCTCCTGCACCCCAGTTCTCACAGGTGAGAAAACATCTCTGTATCAGGGAAGGGGAAGGGAGCCCGTTTTCAGGAAACAGCTGAGATTTCTCCAGGCACTTGGCTGTTTTGAAAAGCAGCCACATGGCTCCATATGTGTATCGCACATGTTTACTAATTAAAAAACAGCCTCCCACTGAGTCAGCCTCCCTTCCCC